ATTATCTCTGCTTAGAACAGATCAATTCCACACTCCAGGGGTCAGGCAGAGCCAGGAGTCTGTCGCATGCTGACTCAGTGCAGTGTTAGCATTATTGCACTTCCAAAGAGTGCCCCAATGAACGTAGGCTCAGACTGAAAAGCATCCTTAATTTATCCACATTATTATTACATATTATTCTGTTATCGACGTAAAAAAAAAAAAAATGTAATTATGAAAAGCTCAAAGAAATCCAAATTCTGAGAGTTTTATTTAAAGGTAGAAACTGCATCTAAGTTTGCTTCTTGCCTATAAAGGAGTGCTTGTAAGGGGCGTGTTGGTATATTTCCTTCTCAAAAGGACCAATCCTATACTTGAAACCTTTAAAACAGGTTAAGATACAATGGTCACCAAATCAATTCATGTTCCCTATGACAGAAGGAGCAAGGAGGCAGTGATGCTGAACCGATGCCCGTCTGCCACATCTGTCAGCGAAGACGATATGTTTGCACAGGTTTATTTGCTTTCCAAGGGCAAGCAATGAGTAGGAGGATCAGGATCAGTCTCATAGTATAAAACTCTTATGGATTTCTTGAAGTAAAAATCTTTTGGCTGCTCTCGAAGCATATCAGTTTTCAGACTTATAATGTTGACAACATGCTTTTGGATACTGACATTCCACTCTTTACTTGTCTTCTCATATATAGCTAGTATAGTACAAGTTGTATAAGATACTGCAGTCAGATTCATAAACACACTTGCTAGGTAAGATCTTCATAGCATGAGTTCACAGTGAAATTAAAAGGAAAAAGTTGAGTTCCTGCTTCTTTTCAGAAGTCAAAATATAAAGGTAAGTTTTGTGTTTTCTTTTAAATACTGTGAGGGCACACTTTTAGCTCGTAGTCTTTCCTTCCAGACTGATGAACCTTTAACAGTCAGTCAAGATGAGGGAACAGAAGTGTCTTCAAACCAGTCTTCTCAAGAGGACTAGCTACTCACTTACCTGACACCAAAAAGCTGTAACCTGAAATCCCAGATGGCAGCTTTGGCGGTTGCAGCCTCATCTGGGCCTCATGGCCTGGTTTCCTATTTCCTGCTTGAGGCTTTGCTCCTCTTGCTGCTGACCTGGAATTTCTTGTTTGTGCCATATCACTGAAATAAGCGCAACAAGTCTACAGATGGCTTGTCAGAGTCAGTGTTTGTATCACTGCTGAAGTCTGTCTGGAGAGCAGAATGCTCATTAAACAATTTTTCACACGTTGATGATCTTTCCTTCTTTCTCTTTCTCTTTTTTTTGACAATAGCCTTCAGAAAAAGAGATGGGTTTAAGAGTTGGTGCAACTGATGCGTAATATGACTAAATCAATAGAGGAAAGTAAAGATTTTTTAAAATGTAGATTATTGATCTGTGAAACTGTAGGGGCTCCTTCAAAGTCATTAGGGTTTGTCACATCAATATGTTGGTAAGGACTCCTGTAAATGAAGATTAATGATGCTAGGGATAATTATCACTGAAGAAACACACTTTTCTCAGCATTTGGACACTTTTGGTGAAGGTAGCAGTGCCAAGTTCTCCTTGAGTGCACTTTAGTTCCTTTTCTGTTATTAGAGTAGGGGGGAGAATGTTTATGGCAGAATGAAAGTTAAACTCCCAGTTTCCTTGGCAGTGGTAGTTGAGTTGCCTATTTTTGACTTGTACTTTAAAAAAAAAAAACAACCCTATATAAAATGAGTGCAGCTGCTTCGGAGATCTACTACACCTATGACAAAATCCTCCTGCATATTTTTTTTCCTCCTAAAATAACTTGGACATGCACAATTGTTGCTTTTCTAAATTAAACACTCAAGTCATGTCTCTTGTTTTTATGGTTCCCTGCAAGATATCTTCATATATTTTGCTAAATAACAATTTATATGACAAATTACAACTTAAAGAAGAACCAAAGCTTTTGCTCAACTTGCTGAAATGTAAAGAATTCCCTAAAGTTAACAAGCTGATTTCACAAGGGGGGGAGGGGAGTTAATGTTCACATTTTTTATCTAAAAACATCCAGCTGACATCCGGTCCTGACTGGTGTTCTCCAGGAATCAGTACTAAGGCCTGTCTTATTCAGTTTCTTTATTGATGACCTGGACAAATCTAGTTCATTGTCAGTAATTCTGCAGATGATACCCAGTTAGCAAGAAGTGTCAATCTGCCTGAGGGTTGGAAAGCCCTTCAGATGGATCTGGGCTGGATAGCTGGGCTGAGACCGATGGGATGAAGCTCAACAAGACCAAGTGCCAGGTCCTTCACTTTGGCCACAATAACCCCAGGCAACATTACAGGCTTGGGGAATAGTGGCTTAAAGACAGTGTGGAAGAAATGGATCTGAGTATTAGTCAATGCTCAGCTAAACATGAGTCAGCAATCAGATGGGCAAGAAGACCAATAGCATCCTGGCTTGTATCAGGAATAGTGTAGCCAGAATGGGCACAGAAGTGACTGTCCCTCTGCTCAGCTCAGCTCTTCTAAGGCCACACCTTGAGTACTATGTACAGTTTGGGGCCCCTTACTACAAGATTTTGGGTGCCTGTAGACTGTCCAGAGAAAGCAACAAAGCTGTTGAGGGGTCAACAAGTCTTATGAAGGGCTGAGGGAAATGTGATTGTTTAGTCTGGAGAAGAGGAGGCTCAGGGGAGACATTATTGCCCTCTACAATGACCTGAAAAGAGGTTGTGTTGAGGTGGGGATCTGCCTCTACTTACATGTAACTAGCAGTAGAATACAGGGAATGGCTTCAAGTTGTGCCAGGAGAGGTTTAGATTGGATATCAGGAAAAATTTATTCTCCAAAAGAGAGATCAGGCACTGGAATGGGCTGCCCAGGGAGGCAGTTGAGTCTGTCCCTGGAGGTTTTCAGTACCTCATAGGTGTGGTACTAAAGGACATGGTTTAGTGGGGTTATATTGTTGGTAGGTAAACAGGTGGACTGGATGATCTTTGAGGTCTTTTCCAACCTTGGTGATTCTATGATTCTATGATCAAATTTAATATTTTGCAAATTATTTCTATTCTACGGCTAAGGTTCAAATCACCAAACACTGTCCAGATAATAAATGGTGTGGCTCTCCTACATTTTCCTTTGTATGAATATATCTGAAAAGATAAAATAGATTGGGGATCATTTGATTCTCAATTATGAAGTACTGTTTTCCCAAGTAGTCCTTAGGATTCTAATTTTTTTTTTTTTTTTTCCAGGAATTACCTGGTGATAGGTTTCATTCATCAGTTTTTCAAAAAGATTGGTAAATATGCTTTGATAAAGTCTCAGTTGGACGGAAGCAAGCACAGCTTGATCAGCCTTTTGTGGATAGAATAAAAATGATCTGGATATGGTTTGATTTCTAAAGAAAGATAATCAAAGACAAAAGAATTATGAATTCATGCTAGAATAGCTTGGCTGTTTTCCAACAAGCTGTTTTCTAGCCAGCCAGAACACAAATCCGCATTCTAGTTTAGAGAGAGAACAAAGGTTGAGCAAAGTGAATCAGCAAGGTTCCTATCTGGCAAAATGCCCATCTTTGGTGACCTGCAGGACCATATCAGATTGCACCTAAATAACAATTTAGAAGACTTTGCTTAAAGTTCCTCTGCATCCTAAAGTCTTTAGTCAGTATTTTAAAGAAAAACATCTTCACACAGCAGAAAAATATCCAGCAGTTAGATATATAAAAGTACTTGCTCACAGAATTCTATTATCAGAAGGAACTGCATTAAAAAAGGGGTGGCCAGCAGGGAGAGGGAGGTGATTGTCCCCGTCTACTCGGCTCTTGTGAGGCCCCACCTGGAGCACTGCATCCAGGCCTGGGGCCCCCAGTACAGGAAGGACATGGAGCTCTTAGAGCAGGTGCAGTGGAGGGCCATTAAGATAATTAGAAGGCTGGAGCACCTCTCCTATGAGGAAAGGTTGAGGGAACTGGGCTTGTTCAGCTTGGAAAAGAGGAGGCTCTGGGGAGATCTCATTGTGGCCTTCCAGTACTCGAAGGGAGCATATGAACAGGAGGAGGAATGGCTGTTTACAATAGGACAAGGGGGGATGGTTTTAAACTGAGACTAAGGGGGAATGGTTTTAAACTGAGGGTTAGGTTAGATATTAGGAGGAAGTTTTTCACACAGAGGGTGGTGACGCAATGAAGCATATTGCCCAAGGAGGTTGTGGATGCCCCATCCCTGGAGGCATTCAAGTCCAGGCTGGATGTGGCTTTGGGCAGCCTGGTCTGGTGGTTGGCAACCCTGCACATAGTAGGGGGCTTGAAAATGGATAATCATTGTGGTCCTTTTCAACCCAGGCCATTCTTTGATTCTTCAATTCTATGAAAATGAAGTCAGATGAACTGATATGCTGTATGGTCTAAAAAAAGACATTAGATAATAGATCCAGAGAGCTTTTTCCATCCTGAAGGACAAAGAAAAAAGAAAAAAAGTCCTTGTCCTTGTGTTTCTGCATTTTAAGGACTGAAACAGTCCTAGGAGGAAGAAAAAACATTGTCAAAGTTTTGGTATAGTTTTTGGTCCAGTATTAGGAATGAAGAATGGTACTGGAAAGTAATAGAGAAACAATCACACTCAGCACGCATTCAATGAAGTTAGCCCTGACAAGTAACTGTACACAGTAGCAACATAATGTTTCCAAGGTTCTCTGCAGGAATTCATCAGAGGCACATATAGAAACTACTCAATATAACTATTTTATCATATATTTGATTCCTTGATTTGCCAAGCTTCTTGCACCACCTTTTCAACTGTTCCATCATTAGAAATTGACCGAAAGATGCTAAAATCAGAGACTGCTGAAAATGGAATTGAAATACTTAAATTCCCCCAAAATTAATAAAAGTCCCTTGGGTATTGATTTGTGAACCAGTACAAGGGCACACAAATATATACTAAGAAAAAAAAATGTCCTACAAAGTAGACACTCCTGAATTTGCTAACTAACGGTTGAGATATAACAATATAACATAAATAGAATTTCTTACCTTTATGATGATTTGCTCCAGATGCTAATTTCCCCCACAGAGTTACAACAAATATTATTATTAGCAGCTTCCCTTTCGTTGCTTTCTGTAAGTATCTCTTATTCATCCTGCAAAGATAAATACATAAAAATAATTACTTCTCTTAATATTTCTTTAAAAATCATTTTTCAAATTAAGGAGAATTTAAAAATTATGTGTCTGGTTAACATCTCTTAACTCCTAAATTGTGTTTAGCTTTAAAGGAGTTATACACAGCGTCAGTATAACCTCTCTCCCTATTTTGTCATCATTCCTCCACCCTGGTCAGTATCAGAAGAATTCAACACCTCCATCAGTTTTATATGAAAGCCCAAGCAATCGTAGCTCTGCAATAGGTTTTGCTAAACAAAAGCAGTTCTACTGGTGCCTTTAGGCCAGTCATGTGCAGTGGATATTTTAGCTTTTGGGATTGCAACTCTTTTTGGATTCTGCTCATCAGTCATAAAGACATAACAGATTTAAAGAGATTTCCAGCATATATACCAACCAATCCATGGGAGAAATCCTGTCAGGAAGATTTGAGTAGTTTGGCACAAGGGCCTCAGACAGGCAGATTTCTCTAGTCTCTCTCCTGTCTGTCCAAAGGGTAATGAAAAAATTTGATTTACAACACCAAAGGAAATTGCACATCCTGCTACCCTCATCTTGCTCAGTGATGTTTTCACTGCAACAGCAAGCTACTGTGGTTCAAGTACAAGGTAACACAGCTTATTTCTCAGCAACCTCCTTCAAAGACAAAATACCTCTCTTCCTGCCACAAAGACACGTTCAGGAACATAGGCTGTAGTGCTTAAGGATTACAGCTCTGCAGAGAGTGGCAAGAGGTACAATAATGAAACTTTCTCTCACTTCTCAGTCTTTGTAGAAGAACCCTAGGGATCTGGTTAAGAAACAACTCAGCACAATCGTCACGTTTCTGCTGATAAAAGTCAATAGGACAACGATGCCTATTCCACCTCACTTACACTAGAAAAGTTGCAAATTTGGTCATTTGAACAAAATTATTGCCATTTTATAATGGCTGGAACTAGTCTGCCTTCTCTGAGCAGAAAAAAAAAAAAACAAAAAAAACACATTGCTTCAGTATGGTTTCACATTTCTCTCCCATTATATTCACAAGAAGCCTGAAAGAATTTGTGAATATCCCTTTTGCCCAACCAATATACAACAGTATCTTGTGCAACTACAAGCTCCATGAAAGGCAAACCACTGCCGTAAAATGGAATTTACCAGCAACCTGTTCAAAGTCCCAAATCTCTTTTTATTCCTTCAAAGCAATTCCTTTCCTCTGAGCAAATTGCTTTCTAACAAAACATTATATACTAACAAGCTCCAACGCTCCACAAGCCAGCTCGTGGTTCCCAGACTCATAACCAGACCACTCACCCTAGAGCTGTCAACCTGGCTCTCTGAGAGATTGTTGATCACTGTTAAGATTCCACACCAGGCTGTGTGCAACAAGACATGGCGATTCAAATTAACAGCCCACTGAGGAACATACCAACCCCTTTTAAACCTGAATTCAGGGCAAAGAGAGCTCAGCATCCTTTGACAGAAGTCACACAACTATAGTGTGTTTGCCAGAAGTTCAGCTTTCGTATTTATAAAGAAAAAAGAGAGAGGAATAAGCAAGTTACTTCATCTAGGATTGTGGATGTTCCCCTGAAATCCTGATTGATTAATAATCACTATGGAGGTCGCAGTGCACTGTGAACCACACCAAGCTGTCTTCTTGCACTGATTCCAGTGCCACAGGTGTGTAATCTATATATTTCATCATCAGCTCCACATTTATGAGGCACTCAAAACTAACGGGAAATATTTGTCATTGTAAATAATAATAAAAAGAATACACATTCAAGCATATGTCCTTCCATGGTTATTGCTGTGAAAAGAATATGAAATAACTCTTTCACTCCTGGATTGTCTTACTACCTCCAACACCGCTGGTGCCAAGTCATTAAAATGAATTTTTTCTTCTTCACCTTCCCAACTCTACATAAAACCCCGTGGGACTCAAAGCATTAAGCAAACCAGACTGTCATGCAGTTGCTGCAAATGTACAGCAGAAAAATACACAAGGAAAAACAGTAGCAATGGGAACAAAAAGAGAGCACCAACCTATCTGGTTGGGAACAGCAGCCCCTCAGGGTGGCAGAGTGAGGATAGAAACCTCTGCTCACAGCCCAGCACCCAACCTGTTCTTCAAAGAAAAGGAGAGTTTGAGTTTTGATGCAGCAAATCTGGGATCACTGCCATTGCCAGGTTTCCCAATCCTGAGAAAGACAATGCACTATTTCTGTGCCACAAGACTATTGCATTATTCTGCATTATTTGTTTAAGACATTTATCCTTTAGAAGGACAAAAATACTATCTTTTAGCAGTTCCACAATAGGCACAATTAAAAGAAAAGTCACTGTAAGTAGCAGCTCCAGATGGGGACTAATAGTTCAGAGGCCATCAGCAGAAGTATAAAAAAAGTCTCTTAGCAGTTAAAGCAGCCATAACATGCAGCAGCTGCAATAGGAAAAAGCTGGGAGATGATGCTAAGTTTCAAACTGATTAGGCAGTGTAACAGTAGACCTGGGGTTGTGTGCATTGGCTACTCACAGCAGCCAGTGTGGCTGCATAAGCACAGACAGGGCATGAAGCACTGCACCCTGAGAATGGCAGAAGTGTCCCAGCAGTGATGGAACACAATCAGAAGCCAGATGTAGCAATACAGCCCTGGAAATAAACAGTGAATAGTTTGTAGTCTAAGAAACTCAAGGGATTGGGATGGATACATCTCATCAGCAAAGCAGGCAAACAGATAACAAGACGAGACCCTGAGATTCGCTCAATATCCAAGAAGACAATGGAAATAGAAAGCATTTGGCCTCATCTTTGAAATGCAACTATTAGCCCCTGCAACTCTGCTCCATGTCAATTAAGTGGATTCAGGAAATAAAATTCAGTCCATTACTGTACCATTATTGCACTAACATAACAGGCTGTGTTAAATAGAACAAATGAGGTCTGAAATGAGGTCTGCTTTTCCTAGAGGTGATGCAGAGCTGCACAGACAAAACTATAGTTGTTAATCTGAATGGTTTTCTCTGTGAGATATTCTCCCTTTCTATTTTCTTTTCTTTCTTTTTACAGCCTTAGAGCCCCCAATAATGCCTCATAAGCCAAAGGCAATCAAAGCTAAGAACAGCCATGCTGCAGGAGATGTTTACATTTGGAAATCAGTTTTGTGCAAAAAAAATAAAATACAACCATTATGTGTAACAAACATTTCCTTCAGTCTCTAACCCCAAAATACTGGAAATAAGCCCAATGAATTCTCAGCACTTTCAGTCAGACAAAGAATTGAAAAACTGCCTTGTTTGAGTTCATTTTTCAATGTGCTCAGAGGTAAAGAAAGAGGAAGATGGCTTTTTTTGAGATACCAGGAACACACTCAAAATAAAACAAACACAATTTGCCAGCAAAATTCAAACAGGTGGTGGTTTGAATGTGAGATGATTGTGCTGTGAGTGGCTCTTCACCAGCAACAAAACAAAGTGGATATGAAGGATTTGTTACTTTTGCTCCAGAAAATTCCTTTCCTCTGATGTGTACTCCATGAGACCCATCAGGTTCAGTATCATGGACGTGAGAATAGGTTGTTTCAGCAATGAATGAATGACAAAAGTATCTAAAAAACTGCTGGATTTTTTTCTCAGAGTGAAACTACATCTGATGCTACTGAGAACCTTCACAGATGATTATTTCAGTAGGAGCCCTTCTCCCTGGCTCCATGACTCATCAAATGCAGACTGTGAACTCACAGGCTCTCTTCATCTCTGCTCCATCTCACTGTCAGCTCTCTCTCAACTACTTGGCTGCACTAAAACTGCCACGAGCAGACATGTATCTCCCATATCCACTGAAGCAATGCAGCTTCCATAAACTTTTGACTTTCTACTTTCTTCCTTCTTTGCTTCTGGGCGTGAGACTGGCCCACCTTACTGATGGTCCTGAAATAGAGGAGAATCACATGGGAGTCGCTTTACATTGTACAGCCAGAGCTAAATTGCCTTGCTTTCCTATTTTAAGTGAAGTGTAACCTCATGCAATCTTTATTGTTGAGGAAGGAAAAAAAGTAAGAAAATAATAGCTTTCTTTCTTCCCTTTAGAGCTCATACACAAATAAAATTCTCATCTGTTTCCTGGCAGTAACAGCAATTTTCTCTCTTTCACCTTTTCTTTTTCTCTTTTACAAGTATCAGCTTCTGTGAAGCTTTTCAGAATTCATTCATTCCTGTTTTACATATGTAGAAACTTTAGTGTCTGTAAAATTCATTTGTCTTCTGCAAATATGTATACCCTGTGAATGCAAGTGTTCATAAAGAGAAGCATAAGCCTATTTCTCTACTGAATCCTGATGAAGAGCTTGAGACAAAAACTTGATAGAAAATTAGTCTCACATTCTCTCACTTTTCCTTTTACAAAAATATATTTTCAACTTCAGAGAGACCCTAAATGAGTAAATGAGTAGAAGAAACAACTTCTGACCCGATGTCTCTGCTACAGAAATAATGCAGCCATTTAAATTATGTTCCGTGCTGTGCTGAATATTACATTATTTATTAGCTGTGTTAGTTTCATCATCCCACGCAATGCAGGTCTTTGCAGCTTTATTCAGCCTTTACTCTGTAAGCTAATGCAGATTTTAAAATGCCCCTGTGGTGGATAAGGTCACTTTGTTAAAGTAACACTGATGTGACCCCCATGTGTTTGCATATATATAAATTCCCTCTATGACATTCCTGTCATGTTTGCTCAGTGAACAAGTAATTTGCCACTCTCATTACTTCAGGTACAAGGTAGCTTGTGAAAATCAATCTTCTTTCTGCTTCATACATCACAGCCTGTAACAGACACAAAGTGCATTCTGATTCAGAAATGAAGCCAGGGGAAAAATACAGTCCTATTCTCATAAACTACTGCATTAGATCTAGGTGGGAAGAAAAGAAAGAGAAGAGGCATTTAGCCTAGTAAAGCATGCAAGTTTTACACAGGAGTCAGACAGGAATTCT